TAGCCCAGGCTGGCCTCGAACTCACAGAGATCCACCTGGCTCTGCCTCCCAAGTGCTGGGATTAAAGGCGTGCGCCACCAACGCCCGGCTCTTTTTTTTTTTTTTTTAAAGAGAGAGAGAGGCTTGCTATGTAGCACAGGCTGGCCTAGAACTTTCAATCCTGCCCAAGCCTCACTAGGATTACTGCGTGTAGCAAAAGCCGGGCTTCTTATGCTGGATCATGACGGATGATGTATCTGTATTCAGTTAATTTCTTACTTATCCGGCACACCCTGGTGTGTACCAGCTCTCAGCTGGGATGAATGAGCGGGTACCGAAACCTCTAAGGAAGGTAGATCTTCATGGATAGCACCTCTCTGGGCGTCATGCCCTGTGCTGTTGTGGGAATTTCCAGAGAGGGAGGCCTTGGCAGCACCAATCGGGGATGGAGTCATCTGGCCAAAGTTCAGGCTCTATTGTAGCCAAACTGACAACTGGGTTGAGTGACCTGGCAGGCTGTGTCCCCAAGGCTACCCTGTCATAGCGGGTGAGTCATCCAGACAAATGCAGGCACTCTGGCATGGGTGAGGGGAAGATCTCACTGAGGGCCTCCCAGCTACCCCTTTTAACAATAAAGAAGCTCTCAGGACTTGCCTCCGCTCGATTCTCCTCTTATGGCCAAAAGGTGCTTAGATAGGGCCATAGCCTCCAGAATGAGCGGACTTTGAGAGACTGGCTAGCCAGCTCTCCTTCCCTAGCCCCAACCTCAAGAGGGGACCAGTAGCCACACGGTGGCACCCAGGCTTCCCTGCCTCCACCCACTCTACCTTCTCCGCCTCCCACGCTAGGGTGAAGTGGATGATCCTTTCAGTGAGGAGGAAAGGCCACTCCTAAGCCTGGGAACTAGTTGATGTCATTGCGGTGTTGCCATAGTAACCGTCCCCTGGATTAGGGGCCTGACCCTCGCGGAGCCAGGAAACAGGAGGGAGTGGGGCTTGGCATGGACTCAGCACATTAGCCCTGGCAAGGCGCTGGCACAGTTGCCCTCGTGTGGTGTGCGCCCAGCACTTCTGCCTCAGCGCTGGTGCCGCCATTGAGTTCCCATTTTACAGATGTGGAGCCCGAGGCTTCAGAGGGTAAGATTATGAAGCAGCTTGGAGATTGTCAGTCCAAGCTCCTGGTTCTGGGCCCATATTTAGTGACCTGAAAGTCCCCCATCTTTTGACATGAAGGAGAGAGAATTTGATCTCATTGTGTAAACTGGGCTGGCCTCAAATGCGTGATCTTCCTGCCTCTGCCTCTAGTCATAATATAACAGGCATGCATCACTATGCTCAGCTCTCTGTGTGTGTGTGTGTGTGTGTGTGTGCGCGCGCGCGCGCGCGAGCGCATGCATGCATGCATGCATATTTTGAAACAGGGTCTCATATAGCCCAAACTAGCTTCAAATTCACTTTGATATGTCTGCACACACACACACACACACACACACACACACACACACACACACACACACACACACCAGGTTGTCCTTGAACTCTTTTTTTTAAACATTCATTTATTATTTATTTTATGTATGTGAGCTTTATCTGCATGTATCAGATCTCATGATAGATGGTTGTGAACCACCATGTGGGTGCTGGGAATTGAACTCAGGTCCTCTGGAAGAGCAGCCAGTGCTCTTAACCACTGAGCCATCTCTCCAGCCCCCTGTCCTTGAACTCTTACCTTTCTCGATTATAGGTATGAATGGCCATCCCTGGCTATTCTCATGTTTTAACTAATATCTGTGATGGCTCTTTTTACAGGAAGCTAAGGCTAGGTAGGACCCTTCTGGGTTTCTGCATTCTCCATTTTTCTTCTCTTTACAGATGTCTCCTTTCTGAAGTGCCTTCTAGTAGTCATGTGCTGTTTCAGGCCTCCCCAGGAGGGTGGATGTTAGGCACTCACCTGACATCCCTCTGGGTGGCCTGGGCCTGAACCTTTCTCTTATAACTTCAGGCGTTTTCCACAAGCCTGTGTCAGGCCAGGTCCATATCCTTGTCTCATGTGAACCTACATTAAATCTGCCAGATCTTTTTGGTCTTGCTACATAGATGTATCCTAATCTAGCTGGTTGAATGCTGGATTACAGGCCTGAGCTACCAAGCTGGTTTAGGCCTTCCTTTTTTTTTTTTTTGGTTTTCCAAGACAGGGTTTCTCTGTGTAGCTTTGCGCCTTTCCTGGAACTCACTTGGTAGCCCAGGCTGGCCTCCAACTCACAGAGATCCGCCTGGCTCTG